GAAGTTTTTTTTTTTTTTTTTTTTTGCCCCCTTGGGGTAGGGGGGTTTTTTTTGGGGGGGGTGGTGGTTTTTTTTTTGGCCCCCTTTTGTTTTAAAATTGCCCCCAAAGTTTTTAACGGTTGGGAGAGATTTTTTTTTTTTTAATTGGCCGGATTTTTGGAAATTTGCCCCCCCCCCCCCCCCCGAAAATACTGAAATGTCATGTTCTGAGGTGTTGCCACAAACGCCTTGCGCCGTGCGAAAGTAGAAATGTACGAACACGTGTCTGCTTGCTTGCTTTTTGGAGCGTGGTAGGCCACCCTGTTCCACCGGTGGAGTGGTGAAACAGCCCGGGCGAGCGCTGCTGTTGTGTTTTCCCGCACGGCCAGAGAGAGCACGCTCTGACGTAAAGTGTGTGTGACGATGTAGGGGGCACCGCGGAATGTAGGTTGTCGCGCTAGAAAGCCGGGAGGCGGCGGAGGAGTTGTTGTCGTGGAGGGAGGGGCCCCGCGACATGGGGCGAGTTTACCGCGGGCGGGGGGTTGCACTTGTTGGCCAATTTGCACCTTTGATGCGAACGAGCCCCGCTGCCGGCAGCACACACACACGTGGGACGGGACGGGTGTGTGAGGTCGTGAGGGTACACGGGGAGGAAGAGCGCAGGGCTTCACTCCACGACAGCGTGCGGTGTGCTCCGGGTGATGTTGTTCCGTGCCGTGTTCGCAATGCCCGCCACAGCAGCAGTCCGCCGAAGCTGTGCTTGTCGTCTGTGTTTTGTGTCTTTGTTGGACCGGGGGCGGTGCAATAAGGTTTCTTATTTCTGTTCTTTTTCTTTTTAATCATGTTTCTCTTTTTTTGCCCGCTTAGGTGCACCGACTATCTTTTTATTGTTGAAGCAGCGCCGCCGTTTGGTGGCTAGCATAAGCCATAGTCCTGTTTTCTTCTTATTTGCAGGATTTGCAGGAGGAGTAACCATGTCGTGGGATTTTTGTGGAACCTCCGATTTGCGATGGTTTGTTCGGCCCGAAATCAAGACAAAACATGTTTCGCGCTTGAATCAAACCATAGAGTAACCCCCCCACCCCCCCCCACCCCTACCCCCCGGCCTAGATAGGTCGGTCCCCGACGTTTTCCGGCCAATGAAAGGCAAAGAGTATAGCAATAGTAGAGCACGCCCATGCGCAAGCTGAACGTGCGTGTATTGTGTTGTTGTGTGTCGACTTTTTTTTGTTTCGCTCTTCTTCCCAAAGGAGGCGTAAATTCGCCCCTGCTCGTCGAAACCTTCAACCGGATGACTTTGTTTGGCTGCCCCGCTATGATGGGGTTGTATTTGTTTTTCGTGAGAATTGATCACCGTCACCAGTATGATACGGTTTAGCTCTGTGAGGCGCGGGGTGGGGGGGGGGAGGGATGCGATGCAACGATTTGACTGACATGATGTGCTACGGAATTGAGACGATTATGACGTTTGGGGAATGGTTTCTGGATGGCGGCTGTCTGTGGGACTCTCCGCTGCAGGTTGGCTTTCGGTTTCGGAATACATCAATAAGAGAAGGGCGGGGCGACGGACATGTGTGTTGACACCAACGCCCATCATCACATCTATCCGTTCTCCTGCGTTTGGCCTGGCGCCTTTCAAACGCAGTAGCGCTCCAAGTGCCACCAAGAGGCTGCTGATCGAGATGTGCACTAAACTACCGAAATGCGAGAAACTGCCGACGACTACTGCTTGCTGTAGAGTCTAAGCACCCTCCGTTGTCTTGGAATCAACGCACGCCAGCGTATGGGCGGGATCGATCGCGAAAAAGAAGAGAACACCAATCATGACTCCATTCAGACAGACCTGGTTTTGCATGCATGCCGAGTTCGAGGTGCTATGTAGTCTCTCCCTGCTTGCTGTGTGGATCTGTCTTGCAGGCGCATGTAGATGTGCATATGGACCGACAACTGGAATACGCAAACAAACGGTTTTTGCGTCACCACGACTGAATGGATTGCCGTTAAAAACGTACCCTGGTTGGCTTCAAGCCATATATCCTCACGGGCTACATGAGCATACGACTGACAGTGGACTGACACACGACAGCAGTTTCAAAGCGACCACGTAATGCGTTACCTAAAAAAACATGGTTGGCGTGAGCACACAGTTTCGATTCGGGGGTGGTCAGACTTAAGTACAGAAGTACTCCTCCGATCCAATCGACGCATATGGTAGAAGGTGCAACAACCGTTGTCCCCACCTACCACCTATTCTTGGCACACGCAAACACACCCGACCACCACCAACTCCAACACCCAGCAGGGGGAAGCTCCGTGCTATGTAAAGATAAGACAATAGTCTAATAACGACCAAGGCGAGCAGGGATAGAGCGGGGAAAGGCAAAACTAGTTGTTGAGGATTTCCCAGCGTGGATCCAAGAAATGCTCGCCGCTCTGTTGGAAGTGCTCTTCCAGCTTCGGCGCACATATTCTTGGCTCCTGCTGTGACGAGCAGAACGAGCCGGGGCAGTGGCTATCCTGTTGGCGGTGAAAAGTTGCACATACAAGTACATCGGACCGAACGGCGTTTCGGAAGTGCGGGTGCCCGGGAGGGAGGGCGGAGGGGAAGATGGTTGAGGGATCGCACTGGCAGGTCAACCGAAATTACAACAGCTTCCAGCTCGAAAACCACCGCTTGTGCAACTTGGTACATGAGTTCGCCACACCAGTTGTTCCGACTCTTGACCGATCGAACAGATTCCAACTGGGGGTCCCGGTTTTCAGGCGGCATGAACCCAGAGGTCAGTTCATTGTCAGGTCGCCGTTTTGCGTTAGATTGTCCTCCCGACTAATTGTACAGTGAGGGTCCCTGTTTAGTGCCGGTCGAATAGTGCCAATCCCCGGTGTAGCGCCGGCCGGTGTTTCGGCGGGCACGCATTGTATTTCCAAGTCTCACTACTTTGAATAGCGCCGGTCCGGTATGATAATGCTGGTGAATTTTCTGGGCACAAACCGGCACTACACAGGGACCCTGCTCACTAGACTATTCTTGTTGCGTTTGGTGGAGGCTTCCATTTGGCACTCAACTCGAGAATGGAAAGGATGGACAGCGATGCTGTTCCCAGTCCATCAATCCACCGTTCGCTACCTTGAGGGCTTTCTTGCATCCAATAAACAACCACACGATGGTGGAGAAAACCAGACAAAACCGAAAAAAAGTAACACCAAGAGCTACCCCCGCTCCTCGAACGGGAACAGACAATTTTCCCCAATACTAGGAAGTCGCGGTGGACCCGGCTAACCTCCCTCCTGACCAACAAGGCGAAAAATACCCTCTTCAGCCAACCAACTTGGACGTCCACGAACACGATTCATTCGGCGCTGCCCTATTCATACCTTCTCGCACAAAGCGGCCGCGGAGTAGTCGACGTCCACGGCGCTTGGCCAATGATACGGCGTCCCGTAGTACTCCGCCGGCACAGGATTCTCTAGGCACTCCCACACCTCCTCTTCCTCTTGCCCCCCGCCATCGTCGTCGCTCTCTGAGGTGGCCGCCGCTGCCGTCTCCACCAGCACACACTGTTGCACGCGGAGGTAGGTCGTGTCTGGGGGAAAGGCTACCGCCGTCAGGGCGCGCGGCGCAATCGCGAGGTCGCACACGCGGAAGTCATCCTCGCTGCACCTCTCCATGCTGACCTGTGATGGTGGTGGTGGTGGTGGTGGTGGTAAACAAGAACTCCACACACAGGGTGGTTCTGGGGGGGGGGGTTCGTGGTACTTACTGTTCCGCTACATCATTTAACATGTGTCCGTCGCGACGGGATGCTGCTCCATCCACAGCCTCTTCCGACCACAGGTTTGTTTGGCTTCCACCTTGAAAGCAACTCACAAATTTCCTTCAAGCAATTCATTCATTTTCCTTCCTTATTCCCTATATCAACTAATAGCTACACGTCGCTCAGGAGGGGACATCTCGAGGTTGCAGACGCACACGGTCGTAGGAACAGAAAGGTGGGGCCGGCTGCACTCTCGGCTTCCGCGCTACACGCTCTCCGAAAATGCCGAGCTCCGGAACACCAACAACCAGTCTGCCCTTCGATACACAGACTAAATAGAACGATTGGTAGCAGCATACATGCGCAAAATGCATTCGACGATGACACACATACATCGATGTTCAAAGCACCCCACAGTTGGCCATCCATCCACATGATAGCACGCCAATATATCACATCATGGTAAAAGTACGAAATGTATGTATGTATGTAAGCTCCCTGAGAACAAGCTACGCTCGACCTGTCCGAACCATAGCAGACTCATAAATACCTGGCCAAAATGAGTGAGCTTGGAGGCGCTCACGCCCTTCGAACAAACGCTCAGCTGTAGATAGTTGGCGCCAAAGTTGTTGACCGGGAGAACTACGGAATCGCTCGGGATACGCTGTTCGGAGTTGAGCGGCAGCGAGACAACAGCGGCTGGGTATAAGCCCAAACTTGGTTTCGACAGTAGAAGGTTTTTACGGGTGCGAAACGGGACCAATGCATTCGCGGTAATCCATAGACGGCTTGTCCAGTGCTGCGACATCAAAAGGATGAAGCCTCGAGATTGCACATGCATGGTGGCTCCGCAGGTTCTGCTGATGCTGCGTATTCAATAGGGAAGCGAATTTCTGAAAGGCGCCATTCGTCGCGGAGCCAGCCGCTAGCCGCGGCTCTTGGGCAATATACAGGAAATCGTGCTTCCCGCAAAGTTGTCTACCAATATTAAAGTTTACTATACCCGTGCAAGATGCCCTGAAGCTAAAAGATCGCGGTATGATGTGGTACTGTATTTCATCGACGTGTACTACGAAGCATCTTCGTGGAAAACACGTTGAGGCGCTGGAGATATCCTACAAATAGATGCCGAAATACCTCGTTGACAAACAAACACGTTTCACAGCCACGTATTTTCTACGATCGGGTACTAGCTGCTTACCGGGTTACTGTACTCGAAGGTGCAGTCATTCCCGCACACGCTCATGTCCGAACAATCCAACTCCATCAGCTCATCGACGCAATCTATCATCTCGTCTGCTGCAGCACAACCCGCGGTGGCCAGGCAAGCCCCATAATAGATAGCGGCGCAAGCTGGGTAACACATTCAATCGCAAAGCCGGGGGATCAAACCGTTGGGTGAGTGTGGTGGGATGGGAGGAGGCGGCGGGGATAAATCGGATGGCGGCCCTCTGCCGATGACCTTGGGTGTGGCCAGTGATGTGCGCGAGCCAACCTTCCGAACTGGATCGATCGTCTATCTATGTAATATTAACCTCGTTTGGTTGCCGTTGAAGCAGCTTTTTGTCTGCAGCCTACACATACCGCATATTCCGTCCTTGTTCGACGCCGGGGTGGACAGCTTGCAGTCTAGCAACGCGGTTTCGCAAGCCGTTCGTCTTGCAGAGTCGCATCTGGACGATCGATTGCGAGGAGAACACACGTTAAAATCGTGCAAACGACTGAGCAAGTCGCAAACAACAATTATTGCTGCCTGGTGTCCGCGGATACTTGTGATGTGTCCCTCTGTGCCGTTGTTCAATCTGTACCGGCAGACAACGCCGAGAGCGCGACAAACCAGGATATAATACCTTTGTTCCTGGTGTACATGGTACAATAGTACCGCGCGATCCGAGCTTACTCCTCGTATCTACATGTCTGTGCACATGCACACGCCAGGGTCCATTCCGCTTCTCATCACATCACCTACCTTCACAAGAACGCCCCATAAACTGAGACAGAAATAAATGAGGGTGTATGCGGGCTTCAAAATTCAAATTTAAATCAAACTTGCCCTTGCTGGTTGAATGATACTACATTTGTCTACATCTATGTATATAAACGGGGTACAGTTACACGACCACACACATATATATATATCTTCCATCTTCCTGTCCGTCGAGGAAACGACAAAAAAAGATCTCACTCGTCAGAGGCGGCAGACGCGGCCACCATTTTCAGTACGTTGACGCCCACCAGGAGAACAGCATTCCGCCCGATACGGCGGTACTCTCCTCTCCGCCGCCTTCTCCCTGCTGTCCTCATATAACGCGTCGCAAGGGTTCTGTGTACGACGAAGGACCTCGGTGCTCGGGGTGTGATAATGTCATAACATGCACATCAGTCAGTTTCAGAGACGGGGGCTCTCCTAATGGACTATGTAACTATGCTCCTACCACCTCAAACAGATACGCGGACCCCCCATCGAGACCTTTCAAGACCTTCGGGCCGGGAATCTCCAACAAAAAGTGCTGGAGAAATCAGAGGCATCGAACGCCTCGCGCACGAACAGCAGGACACCGGCAGCAGGCAACACCTGGACGCCGGCAAGACCCGCACGAGCTTGAGAGAAGCAAAGACAGGCAGAAGACGAGGCTTTTCGAGGCCTCAAATCACCAACAACAAAGCAAGAAGAAGAGAATAATCGGAGGGAGGGGGTTGGGTGTTCTCTGAACGCCCGCAGGGGGGAACCAAGCTTCTTCTTTGGGGGGGCACTGACACCAGCAAGCACTCCACAAATGGATTACTGCCACGTTGACGAGGGCTCTGAGGCTCAGAACATCATCCGCCAGGCCGAAGCACCACCCGACAGCCCCTTCCGCCCGCGCTTCCGTCGACGCTCGGGCGAGATCGCCATCCCAGCAGGCTTCGCAACAGCAGGGGCGGCAGGAGGAACGATAGGTCCGCCAACAACCGGAGGAGGGGGCAGCAGCGGTACGGGCAGCAGCAAGAGCGATGTCCAGCGCATCAAGCTGGGCGTGCTGCTGGGGAAGAGGCCCGTGGCGGACGCCTTGTCGCGCTTCCTGACCCTGCGAGACGTGTTCAAGATGGGCGCTTCCTGCCGGCAGCTTATGAGAATGCTCTTGGCCGTGGGCGGTGGGGCAGAAGGCGGGGCGGGCGCTGCTGCTGGGGAGCCGCAGCAGCAAGGAGCAGCGGCAGTTGGCGTTGTGAATGGATCGAACGGCGGTGGAGCTGCAGCAGGGGCAGGGGTGGGGGGGGCTGCGGCCGCTGGTGTTGCTGCTGCTGCTGCTGGCGCGCCTGCAGGGTGAGTGTGGACTGGCAAGTCTGGCTCCGTAGCGAAGACTGCGTTTTGAGACGAGACATGTTCTGCGACACACAGCATGTCACCGGCTGTAAACCATTCCTTGCACACAAACACACTGCAATCCCCGAGTGTATTATTTTGGTCTGCGGTTGCCGGCGAAAACGTATATTTTCTCTCTTTCGGCACGGGAAAAGGATTCAAGTTGATGTTCTGTGATGACTCGAAACGATGAAATTTTGCAGACAACAGACGTTGCTTCCTGCGACGAGCCCACTCAGTTATTTGTTCTGAATGGTTCTCACGGACTTCCGTAAGAGTCGGAGAGATGGCGCCCCCGTGTTAGCGTTTTTGTATAGCGTATTTCTCCACAACCAGGGGGGTACCACTGCCGAAAAGGGTAGTTTTGGAAACATCTCGTCGAGAGCTTTCCTGAGAGGTATCGGTTGGTGTTCGCACCCTCCTAGTTGAGGAGAAATAGGGCATAAAC